TAATAATAATAATAATAATAATAATAATAATAATAATAATAATAATAATAATAATATATTAAACTTGTATGCCATGGCAGAAGGTTTGCTGACCCTTCTAAATTTCAAGCATGTGTCAACACGCGCTACAGCAGCAACGTGCTATGGTTTAACATTTATGCTTTGCCAGGATCTTTCAATCTACACATGGAGCTAAGGTAAGACCAAAGCACATTTTAAAATTATTTAAAGTCGAGGGTGTTTTAAAAGCATTAAAGGCTTGCCCCTCTTAAGTCAGCTCACATATCAATATAAGCAACAGCATCACAGATATGGGTGGGGAGGTAGGGTAATGGAAGCAAGGTCAGGGGGGAAAAACCACTCCTTTGTATAAGCTTTGTGATGTTGCACACAGATACTAAAGGGACACAGCTTGCAGTGTAAGACAACACTTCTTTGTTATTCTCATCAAGTGGCAAGTTTCTGTAAATGCTGCTGCTAAGAAGAAATAAAACACTAAAACAAAATCCTGCAATATTTAACAACAGTTAAAGCACACCTTCAAAAATGCAAACCCATTGTTTGTTGAATAAGCAACAATTCGGGGATTACTGACTAACACTAAATCATAAACTACAGTTTACCAACTGCAGTGGCCATGAATAAGACAGAAGACAATGAAAAACTATTCTAAAACTATCAGGAACATTTTAGCAAAGTCTCCACTAGATGTCACTACACACTCTATGATTTACAGTACTTAATGTAAAGTGTTTTTCAAACTTGGCAACTTCAGAAGTGTGGATATGTTTCCTATTATGTGACAAAGGATAGAACCACTTTAGTTATAGAAGAGAGAGGAAGACAGTAAAAGACAAATGCATCCTCTGGTTTATTTATTTTGGTCCTCCAAACTAATTGTCAGTTTGAACCCAAACCAGCTATCATCCAGAAAGAAACTAAGGCAGTAGAGATGGAATCACTCAAGGTGAATAGGTGGGCAGTGAAATGCACCATGTAGTCCGGTGCATGCAACTGGAAACAAGTGTTCTGAGCTATTTTACATGTTTATATGCCTTTGTTGTGTTGGCAATGACTGCTTATCCGTTTGCTGTGAGTTAAGCCATAGTAATAAAAGACTTTCAAAGGAGCAATATGCAAAAGGTTTTAGATCTGAGTAAACGTGCATTGGATTGTACCGCTGGTTCTTCAGTGAGATGTATTGGAGACCCACTTTGGTTTCAAAGCATGACTTCTGGCATGGAAGGCATGTCCCTGAGGCAGAGAATTGCTGATATTTCTGAGTGATGAAGCTATGACACTTTCAATAGTTTGAAGACATTATTTTGTTACAGGTTCTCTATAACTGTTGTACTGTACAAAGAATAAAGGAAACTGTAGTTTCACTAAGTGATATGCTCCCATTGGCTCTTACATACTCAGCTTTGCCACTGTTCTTTTAATATTTGCATTGAAATACTAAATACTCATAAAAAGAAAAACCTACCAATCCACAGTATGGTCCAATGGATGGATAACTACTGTCAGGTCCGTTATAGAGTTTCAGGTAGTTGCTAATACAGTTGCCAGGATCATCAATGCTGATAAGAGTAAAATGAACAGTAACGATCCTTCCTTTCGGAGCTTTAATTGTCCATTCGCAATCAGTCTGATTCTGGTAAGAAGCTGGGTATTCTGGACTGGCTACTGAACCCGACTCGCCATATAAGATACCACCACAGGCTAGGAACAGAGAATGTAAGTTATTGCATTTTATGAGGGGGCCACTCTAGTCTAAATTTCAAGAATAATACAACTGCCCTGTGGATGTCATTTTGATCTTTTGTGGATTATGTTTTAATTTAAGCTTTAAACTGATTATTGCAATTTCTTTATTTATTTGTTCATTTGTTTATTTCTGATTTGTGTTTAGTTTGTAAATTGCCCCTACAAGTCTATGTGGTAGCCAAGTTGGTTGGTTGATTGATTGAGTGATTGATTGATAGAGCTGAAAACATTGTTGGTACCAGTTGGTGATGAAGTCCAAGTAATTTCATATCCTTCATAGGAAAGTAGGACATCACTTTTGAAGTGTAGATATACAACATGGTTTTTAGGAAATATAGGATTGGGTAAAGTATTTCCACAATATTTGCCAAACAGTGGTGAGCTTGTATCACTACCATTTCTGACCTTTAAAATAATATACAAAGATTCTGTTAGCAACAGTAAGATTGTCAAGGATGAATCAATAAGAACTTTTCAACTGATTCAGATTCTTTGATTTATCCTAGTTTTGACCAACTGAACACACCTCACTACCCAAGCAAACCTCCATATCCTATTTTAAGAGCTGATTTATACAGTGGTTTTACTGGAAATGTTTATCACAGCAGCAACAGAGTTTCTCCAGGCATGAACTGATGATCAAGACTGCTCTGAATGTTTTTTAGGGGTCAGGAGGGCCCTTAGGAATCACTCTGACTTAATGCCCATCCTAGAGCCAGACTTGGTGGGACATTGTTTATACAATTAGCAATTATACGAATAGCCTAGTTCAAACTGGGATCAGGTGTGAAAGACAGAAGACTGTAACTCTCTGCTTTCAACAGTAATACTAATTTGATTCTAGGACCAGCATCTGCTGTGTGTAGAAAATGGCTCATTGTGTGCTGCAATAGAATCTCCCCCCGCCCCCCCCCGATGCAAATAGTAGGTTTAATTCCCTGATCCAGATCAAAATTACAGTGGGGGCAACTAGTTAAAATATGGGTGGCAATTCATAGGTTTAGTTGTGGTCAATCCGAAAAAAAAAAACGTGTTGGCAAAATTCATCAGTCTGAGCCATGCCCCTTTTGCTTGCAGTGCACTTTTTAAAAGTCATAAATGCAATTTAGTCCATGATGGCATTACATCTACTTTGGCCAAAGTTGGCCTGAGCTTGGTGGTGGCACACAAGTAAAAGTCACATCAAAGTTGCTACTAACCTCAAGATAGACTACGAACTTGAATCATGACATATGGGGGGGATACAGAGGATAAATTGGGGATCAGCAATCTTGCCAGGTGTTGGATACCATCTCATAATCTCATATGATATCCAACATTTTGCAAAACTTCACTGATCTTGTGTACAATTGCATAGTATTGTTGCTTGAAATGTGATGAAATCTCATGCAAGATATTTAGTGATTTATTTTTTTTGTGAGAGAGATTTTGGCTTTCTTTTTCTTTTTTTAATGAACTGAATGTTGGGTGTCTGTGGTCACCCTATAGATAGTTCACCAGTACCATATTGCCAACCCCCACTGATGTATAACCATACTATACCACTGATGTATAACTATACATCCAAGCTTTCATGAGGCCCACTGATGTATAACTATACATCAGTGGGCCTCATGAAAGCTTGGATGTGGTTCTCTCTGTCTCTTTCTCCCTCTTTACATTCTTCAGAAAAATGCTGAGAAAAACAAGTGCAAGAAACAATTGCCCTAAAGATCCCAAGACAGCACATGAGGTTAAGGGGAGAGGATGAGAAAATCGTGGGACAAGAATCAAATTATTGGCAGTTCTTTATGATGCACTTGCTCTTCATACCTCTAAGTAGTCATTTTGACACCCAATTTCCTCTAAATTAAAGGAACTGAAAAAGAGAGAGATGGTATGATTTATTGGGGATCGTAGAATAATTGTACAATCCAAGTTGCGTGGATATCGGTCAGGCCAGCCAGGACTTTTCAAATAACCAAATGACTGATTATATTCTCTGTTGCAACCTAACAGTAGGATACAGAACAAACATTTCTTCATTTACAATATGTTCCATTTTCATTTTATAAAAAAATATTTTTTAAAGTTTGTATGCTATTCTTCAAAATCAGGTTTTAATTCATTCCTATCCCTGATTCCATGCTTAATATAGACAAAAAAGAAAAGGGGGAAAAATTGAAAAAGAAACAATAATAATATATTATGTTGCATAAATAAATAATTTATCCTCGTTTTTAAATATACAAAATAATACAAAAGTTGCAAAATAATATTAATCTGTTTGCTGTCCTCCCCTTCTCAGTCAATCCATAATTTTTCATATAATGATCACTTCCAAGTTTTTGGTATATAATTCAAAAGTACATTTACATCTTTAAACTCTGTTCATCTTTGTAGCACCATGTTATCAAACCTATGGCTATTAAATGAAAACAGTGATGCCGCTAACCAAGATCAGCTTATAGCAACTTTCATGAAAAGATGTCTATGTGTAATAGTATGTGGGAAGACCTTCGGAGACTAGGCGAAGAGATGCTGCCAAGGAAATAGTCAGATAACAGACAGCGTAGCCCGCAATTGGATAGTGGGTGGGGCAAGAGGTTCAGAAGAGACTCTCCCTAGTTTCCCGCGCTGTAAAGGAGATAGGTGGCGGGGGGGGGAGGATTGTACTTTCAGACTTGCAAGATTGATGTCGGCCTCATGGGGTAAACCAGCCAGGAATCGCACCAGATGAGCTAATTCTACTTTATTGTAAAGCTACATTGACAGAATCTTGCAAGTCTGAATTTTTTTCTACAGTTTTGAGGGGTGATAAGCTGACCTGCCTGGGGAGTTGGATAGTTTGTGATTACAGAATGCCCCATCTAACTCTCAATGAATATTTGGGGAGGAGAGGTCATTTGTTTTGTTGGAGAGATTGTTCTGGTTTTTCTCTAGCTTTTTTCTGTTTTTCCTCCTCCTTATTTTTCTTCTTTTTTTTAGGTTTTCAAATTTCATGTCAGCCAAATAATGTTTTCTTCTACAACTCCATGCTAAGGAAGCCTAATACCTGTAAGAAACAGTGCAATAACTTTACCTGAAGCTTGATAGGAGAAGTGGAGTCCATTATTAATCATATAAGTATCTGATCTAAAAATTACAATGGCAGTTCGCCTGTATGAATAAAAATCCAGGACTGTAAAGTTCTCAGAACCGCAGAACCGGTGGACACGATCAGCATGTCCTTGACCACCCTGAAATGTGACAGAAGTACAAGTCTAAAATGATGAAGCATTTTAAAGTGATGCTCTAGAATCCAATTCACATTGCCCTCTATTACTGCAGTAATTTTTATTTTTGTTCTTTGAGAACATGACATGAGTGCTTTCACAAAATCAGTCAGGCACAAAAGACAAAGCAAAGTTGCGCTCTGCCATTTCTAACCCACTAGAATTCTTCCTATTATTATCTTAATTTAGTTTTGTCTTTATTTTGGGCTGAAGTCACCCAGTCTTTTTTCGCTCAGGATGTTTATGGGGCTTTGCAGTTTGCCAGCCTCCCCTTAAACTGAATAAAAATAAGTGACTCAATAAAATCAGATACAGCAAGAAACCCATCAAGTGTCCAAGGGAAATAGCCATGGACAAAATAGTGTTTCTTGCACTAGGTTGCCAGTGCTCACGAACATCAATGGCACTGAGTCACATTTTTTCTCTACCTCTACTAATACCTGAATCTCTGTGAGGAAATCTTTGTTTGTTTCATTTTTCCCTCAGACTTGATAGTGATAAGCAGTTCTTGTTGTCTTGGCAGAACTCTTTGTGTAATTTTTTATAAGTTTAGAAAGGGTACCACCAAACTTTTGCATCCATTTCCCATATTACTATTACCAAACTAGAGGTGAAGATAAAGCATTTGAACACAAATGGATAGTCTTGGAATTCTGCAAGGTGGGGAAGGACTATTTAGTTCTTTTTTCTTTTTTACTATGGCCCTGACAAGCATCACTTCTTAAAACAGCCAGTTTGTAGAAATGTGCAAAATTCATCGATCCAGTAATGGACTGTTCCAGAGAACTCCAGAATATTCTATTTCCCTCTGGACCATGTTGCGTCTCCTTCAGACCATGTTTTTTTTCGGAGGATTGTTTGGTGTTTTCTGGAACTCAATTGTCTATTATGTCCTTCCTACTGCATGTGATCTTTTAGACAAAACTGACCTGTTTTGGGGCAAAACCATCCCCAGAACACCTTGAACTATTTGCAGTTTGGACCTCTGGAAACCACTGAACTGTCCCTGGAATGCCAGAGTCAAGAGAAGATTCAGCATGGTCCAGAGGAAAGCAGAATGTTTGTAATTTGTTAATCTGATCTGTCAGCATCTTCAGTGACTGAAGCAGTATATAAGACCAGTAAGGAAGGAAATATTCTGGAGTTCTCTGGAATGGTATTTTCCTGGTTTGACAAATTTTGTACATCCCTAGATATTTGCATTTCAAATAAAGTTCTCATTGGTGCTAATTAAGGTTTCCATTAAGATGCAAATGAAAACTTCAGCTATTTTAGTAGGGAGGGCATCAAGACTTTGGCAAGGAGAGAAGAGTTAAGTTTTTCCATTTTCAAGACTGCTTGAGTTTACCCATGACTGCTATTTACTAGCAATATATATATATTTGTATTGTTTTACTTGTTTGATTGTTTTTATTATTGTTAGCACAGAGTCACTGGTCTGAGATGGGCAGCTATATAAATTGAATGAATGAATGAATGAATGAAT